CACTGGCAGTGCGAGAGGAATACACTGACAGTGCGAGAGGAATACACTGGCAGTGCGAGAGGAATACACTGGCAGTGCGAGAGGAATACACTGGCAGTGCGAGAGGAATACACTGACAGTGTATTCTGTGGGGGACGCCCTTGGTTTTAAGCTGTTTGTGTGTGTCTCCCTATATGTGTCTCTGTCTGTCTCTGTATCCTTGGCTGATTAATGTGAGGCTAGTGGTTGCAGGGTGTGTTTCTGAGCCTCCACAGCCATTGCACTGGGTGTACTAGGGGGCTGAGGAGCTGTGAGTGAATGGGGGGGGTGCAGTCAGATGGAAATGACCAAGCTGTCTCCACCAAGTGGAGCCAATGTAACTCCATGACACTGTGTGGGCTGGAGGAGGGAGGAGTAGCTGTCTGTGTCTGTGGCCTGGAAGCAGCAACCTGTCAAGTTGCCTTGATTGGGGGGTAAGAGTCTCATGTCATGTGTTGTTTTTGGTCTTCCTTCACGTCCAATCCTTTGCAGTCTGTCTTTTCATTGAGATGTGTGGACAAGGACAACAGAATAACCCCATTTAGTTAGTCCTGTGAAATTTACCTTGTTAAAAAAGTTAATACTTTGCATTGAAGAATTATCTAAATTTCATTTGAATCTAAATTTTTATTTTTATTTGGTAATCTAAATTTTTATTTTTATTTGGTAATCTAAATTTTTATTTTTATTTGGTAATCTAAATTTTTATTGTAAGTGGCATTCAGGTTTTCTTTATGCATCTTCATGAGGTTCTCCTGTGCAGGTAGGTTGAGATCGTGTTTTAGGCAGTACTGCATTTTCAATGTCTCTTTGTCTCCCCAAGATGAGGATGAGGAGGAGGAGATACCCCACCCCCCGCCAGTACTGCAAACCCAGGAGGAGAAACCAGACCAGAAGGAAGAAGAAGCAGAAGGTAAGCAGAGCTGCACTTCCAAGGTTTCAGCTTGAAGCTTCAAGTCTTGCTCAAAACGCTGTGTTGCACACTGTGTGTGTGTGTGTGTGTGTGTGTGTGTGTGTGCGTGTGCGCACGCACATGTGTTCATGCACGTGTCGGTCTGCTCCCATGCAGCGGCTCCCCACGAGCTCACTGAGGAGGAGAAGCTGCAGATCCTGCACTCGGGCGACTTCGTGACCTTCTTCGAGCATAGCAGCCGCATCGTGGAGCGCGCCCTCTCTGAGCACGTGGACGTCTTCTTTGACTACAGCGGGAGAGACCTGCAGGAGAAGGACGGGTAAGGAATGGGCCCTGCACTCTGGCTGTGAGGATGAACAGAGCCGAAGCGTCAGACTCAGTTACTGAAAGGGCCTTAATAAAAACCAGTAAAGGCTTATTGATTTAATTAATAACAGTATGACCAAAACTTCTGTTATTTGTTTGAAATCTGTACTATATGTAAATGTGGACTTTGTAGGAAAATAGGTTGAGTTTAGTCCCAAGAAATAAAAACAACCATATTATGACTAGAATGTTTTGCTGAATTTTCTGCTGACTTGCTGCTATTGAGCTTGTCGGGGGTGGGGGGGTGGTGGGAAGAGGAAAGGTGTATTGCAGGTTTGCACAGGATCATCCCAGCTTCCCGCGTAGGGCTGTAACGATACACACAACGAAACAAATGAATATACAGTGGTACCTCGAAACTCGAACTTAATCCGTTCAGAACTCCAGATCGAATCCTAAAAAGTTTGAGTTCTGATCGAATTTTTCCCATAAATAATGGAAAACCAATTAATTGGTTCCCAGCCCCAAAAAATTACACCTAAATATGTTTTTTTTAGCATTTAAACACAAAATGAACCGGATAAAACAAGAAGAGCATATATTGTACTAAACACATCTAAGCACATTTATCAAAACAGTAATTTGTAAAGTAAGAAAATAAATGTATCCAAACAGTGTGTCCTGTTAAAAAAAACTTTTGTGTGCCACACCCCCTCGTTAACCCCATGTGAAATGCCCGTTTTTTATTAGCTCTCT